CGTCACCCTTGCTGCGCAAGGGGAAGACTGTGGTGTAACGCGAGTAGTCGTCAACCACCAGCAGGAAGTTCCGCTCGCGCCCCTGCCCATTGACGCGGGCTGGGCCCCTCACATCCATGTAGAGAGTCTGCAGCAGATCCTCTGTCGGAGGAAACTCGGAGGAGTGAGGGGCGGCGCGCTGTCGCCCCTCGTTGCAGGGGACGCAGGTAGGGCAAGGCCCCGGAGGTAGGGGAGGGAGAGACCGAGGGAGACCAGAGACAAGGACACGGGAGGCCATGCCTTGGAGACGAGGCAAGGAGGGGTGACCAAGGCGGTGGTGCCAAAGGAGAGTCTGGTGGGACAGCAGACGACACGAGCAGGGAGCAGACTCAGGACCAGACCTGGACGCTGCAGCAAACACCTGACTCGACGTAGCCACCTGGGCAGACGCAGCAGTCGGAGGAGACTTAGTAGTAAGGGTGTACAGGCTCGACCCTGGCCGATGGGTGAACGTGGCCAAGTGTCGGCCTGTCCCAGCACACGTGCAGTGGGTCACTCGCTGACTCGCAAGAGTGAACTGGTCAACCCTCCTATCCTGTAGATCCGCTCCACTCACCAAGTTCGTATAGAACGAGGGGAGGTAGAGACCTGACAGGGTGCCAGAGGGGGTTGCGGGGCACGGTAAGACAGTGGAGAAGCTAGCAAGGACAGGACCCCTAGAGGGGTCTGCCAGGGAGACTGCAACTGGCCGACTGAGCGGCGTAAGAGTGGTGCAACTAGCAAGGAGCGGGACGCACCCGAGTCAAGGGTGAAGGTGTGGAAGGCCTGAGCCGACGTAGTATCTGAGAGAGCAGACTCATTAGCACGTGGGGCAGCAGACGCATAGTCACCTAGGGCAGCAGACGCACTGGCACCTGGGGCAGCAGACGCACTAGCACCTAGAGCAGCAGCCTCACCAGCACCTAGAGGAGTGGCCTCAATGCCCGGCTCAGGCGGTACACACAGGTAACAGTCACCCTCAACGCTAGTAGTCACAGAATACATGGCAGCAAGGATAGCATCATACTCAAGATCAAAGACGGCAGCCCCCGCCCTAGATAGATCTCCCCAACGACGGATCTCTGACGCCTCGGGAACTGGCGACGCCACGCGTTTGTCAAGCGACCGAAGCAGCGCTGGGTGGAGTGCGGGCCTCCGCACTGCTCACCAGCTTGGTCGCCGATACGGAGGACGTAAGTGCAGGGACGAAAACCCCCACCGCGCTGACGCGCAGTGTACCACTCACGAAGCTGCTGGGGGGACAGGGTCACACCACTCCGCTGCTGCTGGCGCGGACCACCACCGGAGCCTCTCCTCTCCGCAGAGTCGTGACCCGTTCCACCACCGCCGCCGCCGCCGCCGCGTCCACCGCCTCCTCCACCTCCGCCTCCTCCGCCACCTCTGCCTCCTCCGCCACCTCCGTCGCCTCCGCTCCCTCTGCCACCACCACCGCCTCCGCCGCCTCCACTGCTGCCGCCGCCGCCACCCCCGACACCACTCCCACCACCACCCCCACTCCCTCCACTGCCTCCACTACCACCTCCACCGCCCCCTCCAGCCCCTCCAGCGCCCTTGCCCCCCTTGCCCTTCCCGGTGCAACGTTTCCCGCTCCGGGCAGACGCAACGCCGACCGACTCGAAACCAACGAGGTCAGCCGGAGCAGAAGAGGCAACAGAGGGCAAGAGGGGGGAGGGAGAACACCCCTGAAAGACGGGGGTGGGAGGGTCACCACGAGAGGCTCCTACAGCGACTATGCTCTTCTCTGCCACTAGGAGGGCCTTTTCGAGGAGGTCAACGGTGAGAGTGGTGGGGCAAACTGAGAGAAAGTGGTCCCTGACTACGCGGAGAGAGTCAGAGAGCCGGGTGACTATGTAGTAGAGAGTGATCTACATGGGGGGGGGGGTTCTTGCCGTAGAGCTCAGTAGGAAGCGCAGCGCGGGGGAAAGGCAGCAAGGTCAGGGAAGAGGTACGGTAGCATGAGGCGGCTCAGTGCAGCAGTGGCAGGGGAACAGTAGCGTGCAACTACAGCGTCTTACAAGGTCTGAGCACTCTTGTACTGGCTAAAGTGTGCACGCTTAGTGGTCGGTAAGTGGCGGCGCTCAGCAATGCGAGCAGCAGCATCGCGCGTGGCCCACTGTGAGCGAACAGTGGCGTGAGCATCAGCAGCAGGGGCAGGAGAGGCACCAGAAGTGAGGTCAAACAGGGAGAGACCGTCTGCCCTGTCGCACTATAGGAAAAGCTGCAGATCATCTACCCAAACCTCAAAGTCACCTGCCTGACCCTCAGCGTCAAAGGTGAGAACACTAGGGGAGGCCATGACAGCAGTAGACAGGCAGTGAGTACAGTGGGGCAGGGCAGTGCAGTGGCAGAGGCGCTGCTCTTACCAGGCAAGTGGGGCAGTCCCGGGTAGGCTGATAGGCGGCAGTGCCTCGGCTGCGGTGCGGCTCGTCGGCTCGGCGGTTCGGTTGCTGGGCGGCTCGGCGGTCGGGCGGCTCAGCTGCAGGGCGGCTCGGCGGTCGGGCGGCTCGGCTGCTCGGCGGCTCGGCTGCTTGGCGGCTCGGCTGCTCGGCGGGTGGGCTGCTCGGCGGTTTGGGCGCTGGGCGGCTGAGCGGCGACGGGGCCGTGGAAGGGCGGCGACGGGGCCACTGAAAGGGCAGCGACGGGCCGCTGAAAGGGTGGCGACGGGCCGTTGAAAGGGCGGCGACTGGGTCGCGGAAGGGCAGCGCCGGGGCCGCTGAAGGGCGGCGACGGGGCTGCGGAAGGGCGGCGACGGGGCCGCTGAAAGGGCGGGCGGCGTCGGGGCCGCTGAGAGGGTGGCGACGGGGCCGCTGAAAGGGCGGCGACGAACCCGCGGAAGGGCGGCGACGGGGCTGCTGGAGGGCGGCGACAGGGGGGGGGGGGGGGGGGGGGGGGGGGGCGGAAGGGCGGCTACGGGGCCGCGGAAGGGCGGCGTCGGGGCCGCGGAAGGGCGGCGACGGGGCCACTGAAAGGGCGGCGACGGGGCCGCTGAAAGGGCAGTGACGGGGCCGCGGAAAGGGCGGCAACAGGGGCGCTGAAAGGGCGGCGACGGGACCGCTGAAAGGGCGGCGACGGGGCCGCCGAAAGGGGCCGCGAGGCCGGTTCGAAGAGGGCCGTGAGGGCGGCTCGACGAGGCTGTGAGGACGGCGCGACGGGGCCACTAGGGGCCGTGAGGGAAGTCACACGGGGCGCGACTCGGGCAGGGGCCAAGCGCACTCCGGGCAGGAAAAAAAAGGTCGGTGGGCCCTAGGAAAAGTTCCCACGGGGGAACCTGCTCTATACCATGTGCGAATTAGAACGAGAATGATTGAACTATGAAACAGTTGGGTACAAGTACTAACCCTAATTGGGTTGTACCCCTTATGGGCTACCCCACTACAGCCTACAATGAAGTATGAGCTATAATGTTCTGACACCGTTGTCAGTCATAGCCGTGCTACGACCCATGAACGTTTGTAGTACAGCATTGGCGACGGCATGGACTGTGGTATCCATGCGGCGCATGGCGAAATTGGACCTCCAATCATCGCAAAATTGCATCTAAAATGCCTCCTCCTCGTCCTTTTTCGTTAATCAGTTCCGGTTTGTGCAGGCCGTGGACGGTCGGCTCCATATAATGTATTTCTGCTTGCCCATGGGTGGCAACTTTGCAACAAGGAAACGGCGGGGATGTCGAAAGCTGGTTGGCTGCTTTCTTGCTCTGACGTCACATTGGGAATGAAAATTGTCGATCGCTAAAAAATGGACAGCACACGGTGGCACATGGCAAGATCCGAAACAACAGATGGCTGACACTATGACGGCAGCAATGTGAACAAGGCATGAGCGGTCAGTGGAAGAGAGGGAGGGGAAACAGATGAAGGTGAAATGGAACACAACTAGAGGGGGTGGATCCTCGCCTGACTGCCTCCCACCGACGCCACCACCAACCCCACCAGCAACTGAGGGGAAAGGGTGGACTTGTTTGCAGCGGACCTGGCTATATGCATTTCGTCAATCTGAAAAGCACTTGATATAATTGGTAACTTCATTCAAACTAGCCCAATTTTGCATATTTGACAAGTAAGCATTGCAGATATAACTTGGGACAAACAGAGAAAAAAGGATATCACTTTTTGAACTTAAAAGGGTCCTCTTTAGACTAGGGGGACTCACTTTCCGGTTATATCCAGAAAAACAGCCGCATCTTGTCTAGGTTGCGGAACCTGCCATTCTGATTTGATCAACGGAACTCATGCTGGTGGATAGCAGCACATGTGAGGATAAGCTGGAGTCTGGGGTGCCGCGGTGAGAGAGAGGATACGCGGGGGAGCGATGATACGCTGGGGGGGCGGACGAGTAGAGCGAGGCGGGGTGGTGCAGCGGCTAAAGTTGCTCGGAGGGCCTGCCCGGGTGGTGAGGGAGGAGCTAATCCGTGAGCTTTTGCACCCGATGGCGCGGACCACCACCGGAGGACAGACAGACTCACACTCAGCAACAAGACTAGCAGCGTAGTCTAGACGACAGCGAGCAGCAAAGTCGACGAGCTCAGAAACGAGGGCAGACGCAGTAGTGGACTCGAAAGAAGGGTGAGTGACGACAGTAGCAAGGAGACGCGTGACAGTGAGACTGGCAGCACGAAGAGAGTCCGACTCCGGGTCGGCAAGAGCAGGAAGAGAGGACTCAGGAGGAGAAGGCAAAGGGGCACGCAGAGGAGCAGTGGATGGACACAAAGACAACCGGTGCGTGCCTGGGACAGAAGGAGGACGCTGACGCGAAGTACGACCACTAGTGCGAGCAGGACGGACACGCGACGTAGGGCGAGACGCAGGCTCGCAACGCTCAGCAAGACCTCCAGTAGGACCAGTGTAGGGAGAGGGAGCAGGCAGTGGGGAGGCCGGCGGTAACTGCAACTGTGACGGGACAGGCTGTGGACACTCTAAGAGAGGAGGAGGACTAGTAGAAGGCGGGAGACCAAGAACCTCCTAAAGGAGCGGAACGAAGTACGGCCGAGGCCGCTCAGCGACTCCAGACACAGCAAAGACGGTACCAGCACCCCCAGCAGCAGCACCAGCAACAGCAGCACCCACAGCTCCAGAACCTCCAGCAGCACCAGTAGCACCTACAATAGCACCGCCTCCAGGACCGACAGTAGTAGCCTCAGCACCAACACCCTCAGCAGCTCCAGCTCCAGTCGCACCTGCCGGCCAAGCAACTCCAGTACCTCCAGTATGAGCACCTCCGGGACCCGCGGCACCAGCACCCTCAGCAGCCGAAGACCCTCCAGCTCTAGCAGCACGGCTCCAGCGTCGGGCAAACCACTCGCGCAGCTCCTGTGGAGAGAGTTGCTCCCGCCGAGACGAAGCACCCGGAGAACCTCCAGGCCCAGCACCGCCAGACGCCACACAAGCAGGCCCAGCCCCCTCAGGCTCCATACCCCCAGGCTCAGCACCTCCAGACGTAGCACCCCCAGGCTCAGCACCCCAAGGCGTACCACCCCCAGGCTCAGCACCCCCAGGCTTAGGACCCCCAGTCTCAACACCCCCAGTCTCAGCACCCCCAATCTCAGCACCCCCAGTCTCAGCACCCCCAGAGTCAGCACCCCCAGGCTCAGCACCCTCAGCAGCACAAGAGTCACCAGTGACCTCGACAGGCTCGACTGCGTCTACCTGGGACACACCTGAAAGGGCTGGACCCTGAGGGGGGAGCGGGTCTACCGGGGGGGGGACCTGGTACGAGGAAGAGCGGCGGCGGGGGGAGGGACGGAGTGCGGTAGGGAAAGAGGCGGTAGTAGGGGACTGACTCGTCAAACGTGACGTCCTGGGAGGACAGAACACGGCGAGAGGTGGGGTGGTAGAACTGCCACCTAGGGGCGTCAGGGGGGAAGCCTAGGAAGACACAAGGAGCCGCACGAGGGGACAGCTTGTCCGCAGACAAGTCGCGGACAAACGCCCGAGATCTCCAGACACGGAACGCAGACGCATCGCCAACCGTCCCTGTCCATAGCAAGGCTGGGGAGGTTTCCGGCATGGAGACCCTGGGGTGAAGGTTGATCTGATGCGCCGCGTACCGAACCGCAAACGGCCACAGAAAATGGGGGCAGCCGCGTGCATCATGGACGTACGGGCAACGTCCATGACCATGCCAATGCGGCGCTCAGCAATCCCATTTTGCTGTGGAGAGTCCGGAAGCGTGAAGGTCTGGCGGATGCCTCGTGCACGATAGTAGGCTCACAGAAGGCCAGAGGAGAACTTTCCGCCTCTGTTAGAGTGCAGACACAGAACAGGAAAGTCCGAGCCGAAACTCTGCCTGAGCTGGAGACGAGCTGCGCGGATCTAGTCGTTCAACACCTCAGTGACATCACCCTTGCTGTGCAAGGGGACGACTGAGGTGTAACGTGAGTAGTCGTCAACAACCAGCAGGAAGTAGCGCTCGTGACGCAGTCCACGGACGCGGGCGGGGCCCCACACGTCCATGTGAAGCGTCTGCAAGGGGGCCTCTGTCGGAGGAAACAGGGAGGAGTGAGGAGCAGCCCACTGCCGTCCCTCGACACAGGGGACGCAGGTAGGGCCAGGCCCCGGAGGAAGGGGAGTGAGGGACCGGGGAAGACCAGAGACAAGGACACAGGAGACCATGCCTTGGAGACGAAGCAGGGAGGGGTGACCAAGGCGGTGGTGCCAGAGGAGAGTCTCGTGAGACAGGAGACGATACGAGCAGGGGGCAGACTCAGGACCAGATCTGGACCCTACATCAAACACCTGACTCGACGCAGCTACCTGACCAGACGCAGGGACAGGAGGAGACGTAGTGGTCAGTGTGTACAGGCTCGACCCCGTCCAACGAGTAAATGTGGCCAAGTGTCGGCCCGTCAAAGCGTCCGTGCAGTGGGCCACCCGCTGGCTCGCAGGAGTGAACTGGTGAACTCTCCCATCCTGTAGGTCAGCACCACTCACCAAGTTCGTAGAGAACGAGGGGAGGTAAAGACCAGACAGGGTGCCAGAGGGAGCCGCCGGACACGGGAGGTTAGTGGAGAAGTGAGCAAGGACAGGACCCCCAGAGGAGTCTGCTAGAGAGACTGCAACTGGCCGACCAAGCGGCGTGAGTGTGGTGCGGTCTGGAAAGAAGGTGCGAGAAGCCCCGGAGTCAAGGGTGAAGGTCAGGGAGGCCGAAGCTGACTCGGTACCTGAGAGCGCGGACTCACCAGCACCTGAGGAAGCAGACGCACTAGCACCTAGAGCAGCAGCCTTGCTAGCACCTAGAGCAGCAGCCTCACCAGTACCTAGAGCAGCAATCTCAATGCCCGAGTCGAGCGGGAAACACCGGTAACAGTCACCCTCATCACTAATAGTCACAACATACATGGCAGCAAAAATAGCATCAAAGTCAAGGTCAAAGATAGCTACTCCCGCCCTAGACAGCTCACCCCACCGGGGGATCTCCGTGGCCTCCGGAAACTGGTGACGCCAAGCGTCCGTCAGGCGGCCAAAGGAGCGATAGGTGGAGTGCGCACCCCCACACTGCTCACCCGCGCGGTCGCCGGTGCGTAGGACGTAGGTGCACGGACCAGTACCCCCACCCCGCTGGCGTGCACCGTACCACTCACGGAGCTGCTAAGAGGGGGGGGGGGTGTCACGAGTGCGCTGCTACTGCTGCTGCTGGCGCTGACCACTACCGGAGCCGACCCTTTGCGCAGCGCCACCCCGACCAGCTCCACCTCCTCTGCCACCGCCTCCTCCACCGCCGCCACCTCCGCCACCTCCGCTCCCACCGCCACCGCTGCCGCCTCCGCCTCCACTGCCGCCACGGACACCTCCACCCCCGCCACCACCCCCACCGCCACCCCCACTCCCTCCGCCGCCTCCAGAGCCCCCGCTAGCTCCTTCAGCGCCCCTGCCCCCCTTGCCCTTGCCATGACGGCGTCTCCCACTAGGGGTAGACGCCGCACCGACCGACTCAAGCCCAACAAGGTCGGCCGCAACAGTAGAGGCAATAGAGGGCAAAAGGGGGGAGAGGGAACACCCCTCAAAGATGGGGGTGCGAGGGTCACCACAAGAGGCTCCTACAGCGACTATGCTCTTCTCCGCTGCTAGGAGGGCCTTCTTGAGGAGGTCAACGGTGAGAGTGGTGGGGCATAATGAGAGGAAGTGGTCCGTGACTACGCGAAGGGAGTTAGGGAGGCGGGTGACGATGTAGTAGAGAGTAATGTACATGGGGGGGGGGGGGGGGTTCTTGGCGCAGAACTCAGCAGGAAGCGCAGCGCGGTAGCGAGTGTCACTAGTGCGGAGGTGCGTAATGAGGTCAGCGACTATGGGAAAGGCAGCAAGGTCAGGGAAGAGGTATGGTAGCATGAGGCGGCTCAGTGCAGCAGTGTTAGGGGAGGAGTAGCGTGCATTTACAGCGTCGTACAGGGTCTGAGCACTCTTGTACTGGCTAAAGTGCGCACGCTCAGAGGTAGGGAGGTGGCGACGCACAGCAAGACATGCAGCAGCATCGCGTGTGGCCCTGTGTGAGCAAACAGTGGCGTCAGCATCAGCAGCAGGGGCAGGAGAGGCACCAGAGGTGAGGTCAAAGAGAAAGAGACCGTCTGCCCTATCTCACTGTAGGAAAAGCTGCAGGTCATCTACCCAGACGTCAAAGTCAATGGCCCGACCCTCAGTGTCAGAAGCAAGGACACTAGGGGTAGCCATGACAGTAGTAGACTAGTAGCACGAATAGAGGGGTAAGGGCAGGGCAGTGACAGAGGCGGCTTGGGCGGCTCGGCAGGAACTGCAGCTCGGCAGCTCGGCGACTCGGCGGCTCGGGCGACTCGAGCGGCTCGGCGGCAACTGCGGCCTGGCAACTCGGCGGCTGGGGCGGCTCGGACGGCTCGGGCGGCTCAGCGGTAACTGCGGCCCGGCGACTCGGCGGCTCGGGCGGCTCGGCGGTACGGCCGCTCGGGCGGCTTAGGTGGCGTGGGGGCTCGGGCGGCTCAGGTGGCGCTGGCGGGTCGGCAGTAGCTCGTCGGGGCCGGATGAAGGCGGGGCCGGGGCCGGGAAGGGCTGGCGACGGGGCCAGCAGAGGCTGGGCCGGCGCCGGGAAGGGCAGTGCCGGGGCCGATAAGGGCGGCGTCGGGGCCGGAGAGGTCGGCGTCGGGGCCAGCAGAGGTGGGGCCGGGTCGGGAAGGGCGGCGTCGGGGCCGGGAAAGGGCGGGGCCGGGAAAGGGCGGCGCCGGGGCCGCAAGGTAGGCGACGGGGCCAGCAGAGGCTGGGTCGGGTCGGGAAGGGCGGCGTCGGGGCCAAGAAAGGGCGGCGCCGGGGCCGCGGGGTAGGCGACGGGGCCGCAGAGCGGTGGATCGGGGCTGGGAAGGGCGGTGTCGGGGCCGGGAAGGGCAGCGCCGGGGCCGGAGGGCTAGGCGACGGGGCCAGCAGAGGCAGAGCTGGGCCGTGAAAGCGTTGTCGGGGCCCAGGGAGGGCGGCGACGGGGCCGCAGGGTGAGCGACGAGGTCGCTAGGGTGGCAGATCGGGGCCGGAAAGTGCGGCGCCGGGGCCGCACGACTAGGCGACACGGCCGCTAGGGCAGCGGATCGGGGCCGCTAGGGCGGCGGGACGCAGCCACTAGGGCGGCGCGACGGGATGGGGCCGCGAGGGTGACGCGACGGAGCCTCTAGCGCGACGCGACGGGGCCGCTAAGGCGGCGGGAGAGGGTCGAGAGAGGGGGAGCGTGATCCGGGCAGGAACTGAGCGCGCTCCGGGCAGGGAAAAAAAAATCGAATTGGTGGGCCGTAGGAACAGTTCCCACAAAAGAAGCTGCTGTGATACCATGAGAAAACTAGAATGAGAATGAAATGCACTATGAGAAAGTTGGGTACAAGTACTAACCCTAATTGGGTTGTACCCCATATGGGCTACCCCACTACAGCCTACACAAAAGCATAAGCTATAATGTTCTAACAGCTTACAGGGAGCACGGCATGCTACAGCGCCATGCTTAGAGCAGCATGCTTATAGGGAGCGCGGCATGCTACAGCGCCATGCTTAGAGCAGCATGCTTAAAGGGAGCGCGGCATGCTACAGCGCCATGCTTAGAGCAGCATGCTTACAGGGAGGGCGGCATGCTACAGCGCCATGCTTAGAGCAGCATGCTTACAGGAAGCGCAGCATGCTACAGCGCCATGCTTAGAGCAGCATGCTTACAGGGAGCGCGGCATGCTACAGCGCCATGCTTAAAGCAGCATGCTTACAGGGAGTGCGGCATGCTACAGCGCCATGCTTAGAGCAGCATGCTTTTAGGGAGCGCGGCATGCTACAGCGCCATGCTTAGAGTAGCATGCTTACAGGGAGCGCGGCATGCTACAGCGCCATGCTTAGAGCAGCATGCTTACAGGGAGCGCGGCATGCTACAGCGCCATGCTTAGAGCAGCATGCTTACAGGGAGCGCGGCATGCCTAGAGCCAAGCGCCAGACCTTCACGCTTCCGGACTCACCACAGCAGAATGGGATTGCTGAGCGCCGCATTGGCATGGTCATGGACGTCGCTCGTACGTCCATGATGCATGCGGCTGCTCCCCATTTTCTGTGGCCGTTTGCGGTCAGGTACGCTGCGCACCAGATCAACCTCCACCCCAGGGTCTCTCGACCGGAGACCTCCCCAGCCCTGCTATGGACGGGGAAGGTTGGCGATGCGTCGGCGTTCCGGGTCTGGGGATCTCGGGCGTTTGTTCGCAACCTGTCTGCGGACAAGCTGTCCCCTCGTGCTTCTCCCTGCGTCTTCCTGGGGTTCCCCCCCGACGCCCCTGGGTGGCAGTTTTACCACCCCACCTCTCGACGTGTTCTGTCCTCCCAGGACGTCACGTTCGACGAGTCGGTACCCTACTACCGCCTCTTCCCCTACCGCACTCCGTTCCTCCCCCCACCCCCGCTCTTCTTGGTACCAGGTCCCCCCCCGGTAGTCCCCCTCCCCCCTCAGGGTCCTGCCCCTTCAGGTGTGTCCCAGGTAGACGCGGTCGAGCCTGTCGAGGTCACTGGTGACTCTGGTGCTGCTGCGGGAGCTGAGCCTGGGGGTGCGGAGTCTGGGGGTGCGGAGCCTGGGGGTGCAGTGCCTGGGGGAGCTGAGCCTGGGGGTGCGGAGTCTGGGGGTGCTGAGCCTGGGGGTGCTGTGCCTGGGGGTGCTGTGCCTGGGGGTGCCGAGCCTGGGGGTGCTGTGCCTGGGGGTGCTGTGCCTGGGGGTGCTGAGCCTGAGGGTGCTGAGCCTGGGGGTGCTGTGCCTGGGGGTGCTTCGTCTCGCCGGGAGCCACTCTCCCCACAGGAGCTGCGTGAGTGGTTTGCCAGGCGCTGGAGGCGTGCTGCTGGTGCTGGTGGTTCTTCGGCTGCAGAGGGTACTGCTGCCGCGCGTCCCGCCGGTGCTCGTACTGTGGGTGCTGGAGCCGCTGGGTCTGAGAGTTCTCCTGGAGCTGGTACTGCTGAGGGTGTTGGCGCTGAGCCTGCTGTTGGCGGTCCGACTGACAGTTCTCCTGGTGCTGCTGCTGGAGGTTCTGGAGCTTCTGGTGGTGCTGCTGGAGGTGCTGCTGGAGTGGGTGCTTCTGCTGGGGCTGCTGGTGCTGTTCCTGCTGTTTCTAGCGTCGCCGCGCGGCCCCGACCGTACTTCGTTCCGCTCCTGCAGCAGGTTCTTGGTCTTACACCTCCTCCTCCTCCCTTAGAGGGTCCGCAGCCTGTCCGGTCACAGCCACAGCTACAGCCTGCCTCCCCTTTGCCTGCTCCTTCTCCCTACGCTGGTCCGACTGGAGGTCTTACTGAGCGTCGTGAGCCTGCGTCTCGTCCCGTGTCGCCTGTTCGTACTGAGCGCACTCGTGGTCGCGGGTCGCGTCAGCGTCCTCCTCCTGTCCCTGGCACGCACCGGATGTCACTGCGTCCGTCCACTGCTCCTCTGCGTGCCCCTTTGCCTTCTCCTCCTGCTTCCTCTCTTCCTCCTCTTGCCGACCCGGAGTCGGACTCTCTTCGTGCTGCCTGTCCTACTGTCACGCGTCTCCTTGCTACTGCTGTCACTGACCCTTCCTTCGAGTCGTCTGCTGCGTCTGCCCTTGTCACTGAGCTTGTCGACTTTGCTGCGCGCTGTCGTCTAGACTACGCTGCTCGTCTTGTCACTGAGTCTGAGTCCGCCTGTCCTCCGTCCGTCGGGGGTGAGTGTGCCCTTGGCACGGACGTCCTTGAGGACAGGCACGAGGAGTTCCAGTGTCTCGCCGCCGCTTCACCTCGTCTCGCGTCTGTACTGCTAGCCCCTGAGGGAGACCCGGATGCACCAGACATCCCGACTCCGCGCTCTTACGCGGAGGCGATAGAGGGTCCCTACTCCTCTCAGTGGCAGGCAGCTATGGATGCAGAGATGGCTTCCTGGAAGTCCACAAGCACCTACGTTGACGCTGTTCCCCCTCCTGGGGCGATCATCGTCAGTGGCATGTGGATTTTCAGGGTGAAGCGGCCGCCGGGCTCTCCGCCTGTCTTCAAGGCGCGTTACGTGGCTCGTGGCTTCAGTCAGCGGCAGGGGGTTGACTACTTTCAGACCTTCTCCCCCACCCCGAAGATGACCACTCTTCGGGTTCTGCTGCACGTTGCTGCTCACCGTGACTACGAGCTGCACTCTCTCGACTTCAGCACAGCTTTCTTGCAGGGCAGCCTGCACGAGGAGATCTGGCTGCGTCGCCCACCTGGCTTCACTGGGTCTTTCCCTCCTGGTACCCAGTGGAGTCTCCGGCGTCCAGTCTACGGTCTCCGCCAGGCGCCACGTGAGTGGCACGACACACTGAGGACTACACTCGCGGCACTTGGGTTTGCTCCTTCTACTGCCGACCCGTCGCTGTTTCTGCGCACCGACACCTCTCTGCCGCCGTTCTACATCCTCGTGTACGTCGACGACTTGGTCTTTGCCACAGCTGACACTGCTGGACTCGCCTACGTGAAGTCCGAGCTGCAGAAGAGACACACGTGCACTGACCTGGGTGAACTGCGCAGCTACCTTGGCTTGCAGATCACCCGGGACAGAGCACGCCGCACCATTACCCTGACTCAGTCACACATGGTGCAGCAGGTCCTTCAGCGCTTCGGCTTCACGTACTCCTCGCCTCAGGCCACTCCTCTGCCTACTCGCCACTCGCTCTCAGCTCTGCCTTCGGATGAGTCCGTAGAGTCGAGTGGCCCGTTTGCAGAGCTTGTTGGCTGCCTCATGTACCTGATGACCT